GTTTGACAGAAGAACTAAGTCATCATTCAATAAACACAGACTGCATGTTTATTGCAGCAAATAACTTTAGCTTTTACATCTGCCTTCTGAGCCGCAGTGGCTACCGAAGATCCAAGGAGGTATCTATTGCTTACCTGCGAAGAAAAAACTCAGTAGAGAAACAGCAGGCTGGGTTAACCCAGAGATAAACAGGATAGTTGAATATGAAGTTCCTCTTCTTCAGACTTTTTTTTTTTCATTGTAGTTTGGTTGAAAGTTTACACAGCAAATTATTTTTCCGTTCAACAACTTACACATATTTTGTTTCATGACTTTAGTTGCAGCTTTAGTTAAATTTCTTACTTTTCCCCCCTTGTGTACCGTTGAATCAGATCTGACTGGCACAGGAAGACATTGCCCCTCCTTGTCCAGCGGAGCATCTGGTGGATTTGAACCAAGACGTTCCTCTTCTTAGGGAAGGCTTCCTTAGTTTCATCTAGTGCTGCTTAGCAAGTGTCTCCCCTTCTGCCCACGCACATGCCAAAGGTTAGTAAATTTTTGCACACTTTTATAACTGAATGACTGAATGGTCACTATGCATCACAGGCAACTCAACAGCACATAACAACAATAACATACTATGACAGGTTTGGAAGCAGGAGTGGCATCCACTTCCTAAACAACATACCTCTGGAAACTCTATGAACTTTTATAAATGTCAATAGTTGTAAAGGGGCTTCAGGCCCTTTACTCATAGGATCTCTATGAGTCGTGCTCGACTTGTAGGCAGTCAACAACAACATAACTGAAAAGAAGGAAATGGTCATAAAGAAATAATTTTGTTTCATTTAATAGTTCAAATCACTCAAATAAAATTATCATTACCAACATAATTTCCCAATTTAGTACTGTTTAGTCTGTCATCTGCCATTTGAAAAATAACTAAGTGAAATTATTCCATTTTTTAAACTCATTTTATATCAAAAATAGAAATTCTTGGCCATTTCTCCCTCTACACTGAAAATAATTAGCTTCTACCACTTAAGAGTCCCTTTCTGTTCAGAAACCTTGGATCTCTCAAATAATCCCCATGTGACTAAGCACAGACTCAGTCAGCATTTGACATTAACAGGAGGGATATTCTCCACTTAAGAGAAAGGAGGCCCTGTCAGAAATGTGAGCTTTCTGTAGTCTGTGATTTAAAAGAAATAGGCATTAATCCAGGCTACCTCATCCCAAGAATTCCTGTCTTTGCTTTCATTTCATCTGCAAAACAAGGCTATCTGCTCCTCATAGAGATACTCTGAGTATAATAAGCTGGTGGGGCTATGAAGTTCTTGGACAAAGGCCACTATACTTCAGTGACAACTGCCTCCTAAAATTCCATTTCCAAACTCAGATGACACAGTAACCTCAGCATGAACTACATAATTCCTGCCCATTTATTATGCAGAGAACACATTTTAAGCCACTACTCTGTGGAAGCTTCAAGCTTCATTAGCACCAAATGCAGCAAGTCAGATTTTTCCACTCAACCCTGAAACACAAAAAGGTTTTATCAGTCTTCTTTTTTTTTAAGGAATCCTCTCCTGGGCACAGTAGCCCCAAAGTCAAGTCCTAACTGGATGTATACCTGGCTACAAATATCCAAGTAAGAATGAGATAGCACTGGCATTTCCCTTTATCTCTTCCAGGAAATTAACTAATACTAAGACGACACCTAAATAGAAAAGATAGCACCTCTGCAAAAACAAAACAATAAAAACATATGTCCATCAGAGACTGCCAGAATTGAATCAGCCTTAGAAATTGGAGAGATGTCTTAACTGTGTCAAGACCTTGCATAAACCCAATGGTGGGGTCAAATTAAGGCAGCCGAGTCCTGGGTACGAAAGATGGCAGTCCTTGACACAGGTTTGGGTGATTTTGGACAAGTCAGACTCTGGTGTGTGGTCCAACCTGGGAGCTCTCACCCTCTCTGTGGACAGGATGAGGAGGGCAGGCTGGATCGTCAGCTCTGCCTTCTCCATCTTAACATCCCATTACTCTAGCCATACTTGCCTATATGCTCCTTGCCCCACAAGACCCCCTTTTCTGCCCAAAGACAATCAGCTCACCTACCACACAAGATTCTCATCTTTGCTCAGTCAGAGCGACTACTCCTGCTCAAAGGAGGAAAGGACAGAGGATATTTCGATTGCTTTAAAGGGGGAATATGAGATTTTACATGGAGAACTGTTTTTATTTGATCTACCACTGCATAAAACATTCCTTCTTTCCAGGAAAAGGGAATAATTCCAATTTCCCCTTTGAATGTGTTGTTGTTGTTGTTGTTATGTGCCGTCGAGTCGCCTGCGACTCATAGCGACCCTATGTACAACAGCCCTAAACTCTGCTCTGTCCTGTGCCAATCGCACTGTCTCTGACACTCCCATCCCAATTATCCCAGTCACTGAATCAATCCACCTCATAGAGGGCCTTCCTCTCCTGCGCCGTCCCTCCACCCTCCCAAGCATGATGTCCCTCTCCAAGGACCGGTCTCTCGTCACGACATGTCCAAAGTAAGTTAGACGGAGCCTCAGAATCCTTGCCTCCAAGGAGCCACCCAGTTTAACCCTCTCCAGGACAAATCTATTTGTTTTCCCAGCAGTCCATGGTATTCTCAGTACTCTTCTCCAGCACCACAGCTCAAAGGCATCAGTTCTCCTTCTATCCTCCTTGGTCATTGTCCAACTCTCTGATGCATAACAGGTGATTGCGAAGACCATGGCCTGTATCAGACGCACCTTAGTCTCCAGAGAGACACCACTGCTCTTCAGCACTTTGGAGAGGTCCCTAACAGCAGACTTTCCCATGGCAATGCACCTTTTAACTTCCTGGCTGCTGGTGCCAAGACTGTTGACTATGGAACCAAGCAAACTAAAGCTGTGTACAATCTCAATCTCTTCACCATCCATCCTGATGCTGCCGATTGGTCCAGTGGTGAGAATCTTTGTCTTCTTGACATTGAGCCTCAATCCATATTGTAGGCTGCATGTGTTTGAACGTGAGAGATCACTAAAGCTCCAGCACATAAACAGAATCTTGTGTTTTAATGGCTTACCCTAAATCAGCCCCAGAGAAAAGAGGCCCTAAAGAACTTCACTTGGGTTTGTCCTTTCACTTTTCCTTCTCTCCAGACTCCTTGAGGGTACACAGATCAGAGGCAGATGGCACCAAGTAAAAGCTGTCCTCAGTCCTAAACCACAAACCATACTCACTGACAGTGAGTCCATCCTGACTCCTGGCCAAATCACATGTGTCAAACTAGCACCCCTAAGGTTTTCAGTAACTGTGGCCTTTCAGAAGTGGAGACAGGCTGTTCTTCCTGCTACAGTGCTGTCTCATGGTTTCGAACCACTGACCTTTTGATTAGTAGTAGCTGAGAACAGCCTGTTTTTGTTATCCAAAGACCTCTGTCCTCAGCTCAGGCTTATGTCCCTTCAAAGCTGGTAGTCAGAGAGAAGATAATCTGAAGGTATCTTCCATCTTCTAGAAGTAAAAGATTGATGGAGTGGAATTCTTCCTTATTCACCACCCATAAAGTACATTTCCCAAAAGTTTCTTAAGTGACCAACAGTAGAACGTGGTGGCAAAGAGCAAATGAATCAAGACTAATGCTTGAGTAATGGATCAACAAGGTTTCCCAAAATACCTCAGACTGGCACGATCAGTAACGATAGTCAACACAGAAATCCATTTCAGTTCTGATTATTTCTTCCAAGACAAGGCGTCTAGAAATCGAACTCTTTTTTTTCTCATCATCCTTGCTGAATTGTCTCATTACCACCACAGTTTTTCACTCCACTTAAACATAAATCAAGCTCATTGAATGTTAACTCATAATTCAGTCTGTACCCTCTTTTTCATCAAAGTGCTGACTGCCCTGTACTGTTGCATAAATAAAACAAAAGGCAAAGGCCCACATCCTTTACCCTTCTCTGAGTGGAGAGAAAATTAAGATCTTGTTTTATTTGAGTGTCTTCTATAAGCAATGCCTTATTTTCTCTTAAAGCCTAAACATCATGTGGGATATTAAATAAAAGTGCTTCTAAAATTTAAACACCTATTTCTCAACCCCTAGCACCAAGCTTTTGATGATGGTTGAGATAGCACTACATTGGGTCTGTTGCCTTGAGATTAGCTGATAAGATTCTATCCTGATACATTAACCCCCTGGAGTTAGAGGAGCATTTATTTACCCCTATCTAGAAGACTGAAAGACATTCCGCCTCGTTTCTGAAGGCAGTAGTATTAAAAAAAAAAGTGAGGAGGATGGCCTGTACTTCCTGAATGCACATTAAGAACGATATCGTTAAATAGATTATTTTTGCAAATATACAGTCTCCCGTCTGGCATAACACAGACAAGGGGAAATGTGGGTTATTTATTTCTGCCCCTGTAAATCCTTTATTTCCTTTCCTGAAAATACCCCAGTGGCATACCAGCTGTGACCCAGTGTCTGATGTGTGTGTATATTTCAGTTGCTTGTTGGTGGTATTAAGAATCGAAACATCTCTAAATCCACCTCACAGGAAACCAGACCACAGCTTCTAATATTAGATTACAGCCTAATTATTTATTCTGTATCCTTTTCACACCATTATGCCAAGACCAGGAGATCAGACTTTCCCACTGAATATTTATTAATGGCATCGCTCATCAGAGCTCTAGAGCTATGCTCATGTGTCTCCCTAGACAGAGCCCAATTATGGGACAAAGTGGAAATCCACAATTTCTCTATTAGCATGCCCCTTCCTATTGAGTTCGTGAAAAGCCATTTCCCAGTTGTCCTGCATGAATAGCCCGTCACACTTATCAATATGAATGAAGCCCTGACTACCCATTTATGCAAAATAGTAAAAACGAGTTTGTCCTTTCTTTGAAAAAAAATTCATAAAAGCCAGCAAATAGACTACCTTTCTCTCTGCACTCAAATATGTCCTCTGTGAAAGCAACTTCTGTTGTGGTAAAGTTCGCACATGATGCAAATGGTTAACATATTTGGCTATAAGTCCAGAGGTAGGCATTTTGATTAGTTATAGAAATGACAATTTGGAGGCTAGGCCTGGTGGTCTCCATCTAGAAAACCAGGCCCTGAGCACCCCATGGAGCCAGTTCTACCCTGACTCACACAGGGTTGCCTTTAATTCGAAATGACTGAATGACAATGGAATAAAATGGGATTCTATCTCTTACAGTTTAGGGCTTAGCCTGCCCACGTTAGACTGAAACAGGAGACTTCACATGGAAACAAGAAACTGAACATGAAGATACAAGGGAAATGTCACAGCAGAAGGCAGCAAAGGAACAAATGACTTAGAAAGGAGAACCTTCCCAACCCTCTTCCTCTGCCTTATAAGAATTTCAATTTTTGAAATTTTTCACTGAGGTCAGAGGAGGGATTCTTGATAGGAGAGCAGCCCCTTTTCTCAAGTTAGTGTGGAAGACAGCCAGAAGACCCCAGCAGGACAAGATGTTCAGTGCAAAAGAAGAGGCGCCACGGATCCACTATTGTTTGCTATATACTGTGAGTCAGAACTGATTATACCATTGGCCTCTTTCTTTTTAACGAGGTGGCTGAGCGGCAGACACAGAGGTGCCGATCTTTGTGAAGACCCTAACTAGCAAGACCATCACTCTTCAGGTCAAGGCTACCATCAAAAATGTCAAAGTCAAAATCCAAGACAAGGAGGGCATCCCTCCTGACCAGCAGTGTCTAATATTTGAGTACAAACAGTTAAAGGATGGCCGTTCACTCTCAGACTACAACATCCAGAAAGAGTCCACCCCGCATCTGGTGCTGCATCTGCATGGTGGTGGCATTATTGAGCCTTCCTTGCGCCAGCTCGTCCAGAAGTACAACTGCGACAAGATGATCTGCTGTGAGTGTAATTCTCGCCTGCACCCCTGTGCTGCCAATTGCCACAATAAGCGTGGGTACTCCAACAACCTGCGCCCCAAGAAGAAGGACGAATAAAAGCCCCCTCTTCACTGGCTCCCTTGCCTCTTGTAGGTGGCCTTCTGAGCCCCATGGCCCTGGGCCCTCAATAAAGTCCCTTTCATTGAATTGAAGAAAAAAAAAAAAAAGAACTGAGTATAGCTGACCCTCCAGGGGTTTGCAGAGGCAGTATATCACAAGGGCAGGGGGGAAGACTGCCCACCTATCTCCTGTGGAGTAACTGGTGGGTTTGAACCATGCACCATTAGGTTGGCAACACAATTCCTTAACACTAAGTCACCAGAGTTCCCGAAGGAGCCACAGGAAATGCATATCTTTTTCATTTGTTGGTGTGTTTTTTTCTTAAGTACTTGCCATCAAAAATGCCATGTCAGTCACTGGATAAAGCCTGAGGTTTGCTTACTAAGTTAATGATTTTGCTATCTGTCATGGAAACACTTTGGCAGATCAGTGAGGACAACAGGCAATTATTTATATCTAACAGAGAAGCCAAGCTCACAATCAACCACCATACCTCATTCAATTCGGTGTTTAATCAATTTGTTGATGATTTATAGATTTTTGTCAGTGATGATAGTGACTACAGAATCTCTTCCCCTCACCCCCAGGCTCTCTTTTAAGTACTATTAAATATCATCTAATAACAATTAAATAACTTTATAAGGCAGCTAATCAAAAGCTCACTGCTATCAAATTTATTGCAATTAATGTTGGTGGTGGTGTGATGGTGATGTGTGTCATCAAGTTGGAATCAACCCACAGCTGATCCTCGAGTGGGCTTTCACATGGGAGGCTGCCCATCCTTCTCCTATGAAGCAGCCGGTGGATTTGAATCACACACTTCACCTTATTGACCACGATGCCACCAAAGAGCTCCATTATAAAGCAAATAATCAAAGGCTCACTGCCACCAAATTTATTCCAATTAATAGCACTCCTATCAGACAACTTAGACTTTCTCGTAAGGTTTCCAAGGGTATATATCAAAATAGAGGCAGACTGTCTCATCTTTCTCCTGAGGAGCAGCAAATGGGTTCAAACCTATAGTCTTTAGGCTAGCAGCCATGATTCTTTAACCACTGCTCCACCAGAGATCCCTATAAGGCAGGTTACTGTTGTTATTTTTAGGTGCTGATGTGTTAGTTATGACCCCAGGATGAACCTGTTCATTCTCTTAGCAGTCCATGGTATATTCATGTACAATAATGGTACTAAGTCCATTTCGTGCAAGCAAAGTTTTGTCATCTGCATATCACCCTTATAGTCTCCTCTTCCAATCTGCTCTATTCTTGTTCATATACTCCAGTTACTCAGCTTATTTGCTCAGCATGCAAATGAAACAGGCATTGTAAAAGGATATTATGGCAAGCTCTGGTGGCATAGTGGCAAGGAGCTGCACTGGTATCCCTGAGGTGAGTGGTTCGAATCCACTAGATGCTTTGCTGGAGAAGAAGGGATAATCTCCTCGTGTACCAGTCAGATCCAATTTGACAATACACACAAAAAATAATTAAAATAAAATAAAATTTTAAAAAGGATATCACGCTGACACACACACACATCCTCATTTTAAACAAAAGAAGCATCCCTCATTTTGTTCAAAGAACTGCTTCTTGTTTTGTGCACAGAGCCCATAAGTACAATTAAATGTGCTGGTATTACTTTTTTTGTTTTTTTCATTATCCATAATTATCCATATAGTTGAATGCCTTTACATAGTCAACAAAGCAGATAAACATCTTTCTGGCACTCTCTGTTAGCCAAGATCCGCCTGACAACAGAAAAGACATTATAAAGGTTTGTAGTTTGAGCCCTCTTCTACCAGACAAGAAAGAAACAGTCAGCTCCTATAAAGATTTCAAGTCTGAGAAACCTGAAGGGGCATTTAGTTCTACTCTGTCCTGTAGGGTCACCATGAGTCAGAATCAACTCCACAACAGAGAGATAAGACAGAACATTTTAAAAAGGAAGAGGTGACTCAGAGCAATTAAGGAATTTGCCTAAAGTTACAAGACAAGTAAGTAACAGAGGCAAGATTTGAGCCAGACCTGTGTGAATCTCAAGCCCATTTATACTTTTTCCACAATAGCAATAAATATCCACCACAGTATATGTAGCTGTGTTCACTGGAATCACACGGCTAATAATAGGAAAGGATTCAAGCCAAGAGTTAAAAGGGTAAAACATAAAGGTTTCCTTCTAGTAAAATGGAAAGGCAGACACAGAATCACCAACTGTTAAAACATTTATTATTAAAGATGGGAATTATTGCCTTCGTTCTGAAGGTCAAAACAGCAGCACTCCAGAAATTCAAGTCCCTGTGCCTCTATCTCTAGGATTAACACGGAACACAGTAAAATAAATTTCCAAGTGCTTTTACGGGGATAAGACCTCGGTTGGCACCTTAGAGGTCCAGTTACCAACAATCACCAAATCTGTTAAGAAGCCATGGATTATGCAAGTTACTTAGTACATTAGTCTCAGCTCCTCAGATATAAAAGGAAGAGATGAGATCGCTGAGTTCTCATTTTTATCTTAAAGTAAAGAACTAATATTCATTCATCTCGTGGCATTCTGGAGAGGGATGAGCCATTTGAGATGGAGAATTTCACCACAGAGTAGAGGATTAAGGCCCTTCTCCCTCTTTGTGCTATTTTTATCCCCATCTCACCTGGAGGTGCTTACGGGGCATTGGTTAAGCTGGGCAGAAATGAAACAGAATGACTCCCTCCACCATAGCCTCAAACTGGCCACCATCCTTGCTACCACAAGATTGAGAACCACCTTGACCAAAATTCACCCTATGCGCCAACCATCCCATTCCACTCACGATGTCAGAAGGGGAGCTGTGATTTAGCTCCCACGTATTTTTGTGGACATGATTAACAGTACACTCACCCAGTCCTCTGGACCCCCCAAAAAAGAGTCTGCTCTTGAGGACCAGCTTTCCCTTGCCCGTTTACTAGCATTTTAACACACTCCACAGTCTCGGGTTTGGCCACCTGCTTCCTACTCATTCCAAGCACCCGGGCACAACACCAAACCATGCTGCTCTTCTATACAAAGATGTCCTTGAGTGAAAATTCTAAACACAAGCTTACCATGTTACATGAGGGCTATTCAATTTTTTTAAGCCAGCCTTATGCTAAATCGCTTCGGTTTGGCTGTCTCTCTCACATCACACGCTCACGCCACCCTGCCAACCTGAACAAATCTGGTTTCCATTCATCGCCTTTTTAGCAGTGCACATTTTAAGAGCCTTTTCCCTTTATCTATTTCTCCTTTCACCACTCCCAGGTCTTTTCTTTCCAAGTACCTTGTTTTTCCATTCCACATTTTCTCACTTTTATTTGCCAGTTACGTTCCTTCCATCCTCTGCCTTTCTTTCTCTTTTCTCTAGTAAAAGAAACAAACAACAACAACAACAACAAAATCTTTCCCCCCCCCCCTCTTAGTGGCCACCAGCTACTCTACAAAAGAAAGATGGGTCGTCTCCTCCTCCAAGGAATTTACAGCCTCGGAAACCCTGTGGAGGTTACTATGAGTCAGTGTTGACTACTCAGTAGCAATGGGCTTGGTTGTGGTTAAAGAGTTCCATGTTATTTGTCTATTCACTTTATCTTTGTTGAACACCACTGGCCCTGAGATTACCAACAGCTGACTCTCTCTTCTTGGGATTTCCTAATTATACACCTGAATGTACCAAGTGCTCTGTGAGTGGTTTCTCTTTTAAGCCTTAGAACCACCTTATAAAACAGCTTGTCCTCTAGAAGAGGGCTTCTCCAACTTAAATATACAGATGTACAGGTGGGGGACCTTGTTAAGCAAATTCAAATTCTTGAAGTCTGGAATGAGGCCTGAGAACTTCCAGAAGCTTCCAGGGGAGGTAAGTGATACTCATCTATGAACCATATTGAAAAGATTAGTTAAGTTGGGACGTTGGCAATAATTTCATTTGCCGGAAAAGCTAATGTGAAAATTCCACCTACCATTGGCATTTTGATCTACAATGGTAAGCACTGCCCTCTTCACACCACTATCTCCTAAGATCAATACCCTTCTTGGAAGGTTAACAAGGTCACTGTGGACATCTTAGCATGAAATTGGTAACAACTGCAGAATGTGAAGTCTGAACGCTATAAAAGTACAGAGAGAAACTAATTAAAAAGAAGGGAGAATGGAGTGGGGATAAAGGTGGTAAGAGATGGGGCAGGGGAGCTAAATGTGAAAACAATCCATCACAAGATTAACACAGATGATTAAGCCTTTGAGAAAAATGTCAGTCTTGTGATAGACAGGATGTGCCACCCGGTAACACTGAATCTCAGGAAAAGAGCATGTAGTAAGTATACTCACACAGGTGTGTGCATCAGGTGCTTTATGCATCTCTACCCATTAAATACACCCAACTAGTTTTCCAAATAGATGAGCACAGCAAGGCTTAGGCAAATGGATTCACATTTTCCAGGACTTTTGCCAGTTTGCACACATAGACTTCCACCCACATCTTCCCACAAACTCCAGTCCAAATTGTAACAAAATCTACTGAAATGCTGAGGAGTTGATGAAATGTAGGGTTATATGAGAGTTACAAATACAGAGAAGAGATTCTGCCTTTGATGAAGCCTCATTAAGAAAGCATATTTGCACCACAACAAGATAAAAGTAAATGATCCAATAGAAAAATGGGCACAGGATACCAACAGACATTTGACCAAAGAAGACATTCAGATGGCCAACAAGCACATGAAGAAATGTTCAAAATCCCTAGCTCTAAGAGAGGTGCAAAGCAAAACAACTATGTGATATCATCTCACTCCAGTAAGAAAAAAAAATTTAACAGAGTAGCAAACAACAAATGCTGGCGAGGTTCTGGAGAAACTGAACCTTTATTCACTGTTGGTGGGGGTGTAAAATGGTGCAACCACTGTGGAAGGCAGTATGGCACTTTCTCAAAAAGTTGCAAATAGAGATACTATTTGACTCAGCAATTCCAATACTGGGAATATACCCCAAAG